CAAAGCACCGATCGAGGTTAGGATCGTCATCGTCCCAGAGAAGCACGTCATCTATAATATTTAGTAGAGGACGTCATGCTGCGAGCACCTCTGGATACGAAAATAGTGTGAGGCTGACATCTTACAACGTTTCGATAAAGTTGCCATGATTTGCTTCAACTACTGTAAAATCTCTATTAAGCCCCCAGGGGGCTTATTTATTTCAAACCCATTTGAGGGAGGGGAGGGGCTTCATAGAGACGAGGGGGCTTATTTAATTTAGAAAAGACGATGGTATCAGTGCTCAATAAAGAACTAGGATACGAAGTGGAAAAACACAAGTACAAGAAGTTGAAGATCATTCAGCCGAGGATCAACTTCCAGTTGGTGAATAAACCATCCCGGATCAGTCCACACGAAGATTTATAGTTGTCACTGATTAATACAATCTATCATTTATTACTGAAGAATAATTAGGGAAGGGGAGGGGGGCTTAAAAGAAAGGGGGCAGGTTATTAACTTTCTTCGCCTGAAAAGAGGGGGGGTAGTTGAGAGGGGGCTTAATGGAGGATTTACGGTAAGTAGTGCTTATAATGATGAATGTAGGGACTTTAGCTTGACAAGTTTGTCCTTTGGTTATATTCAATAACTTAAGAATACGTTAAACTAAAGACATGCCGGGCAGTACTTTAATACGTTCGAACTCTGATTAGGTAGGTCGGTGAGATTTATCATTCATTTATTCATTTCGCCAAACGGAGGAATTAACATTTGAAGGTAGAATACAAAGCAATATTGCTACATATTAAATGAATTTATCAGGAGAAAGAGATGAAAAATAGAAAGTTTGACATGAAACGGGTATAAGGAGAATAGCGAGGAGGCCTTGAGAACCGCCATGCATGTACGCGGAAGGTTTCCTACCCTTTAAAGCATTTCATGCAAAGTTGTTTTGATGAAAACGTAATTAATTCACCAAAAACCTTTCCTGTTAAGTGACAAACATTTTTTTTGGACCATCTCGAGGCAACATAAAAACTAATCATTAGGAACTGCTTCACTGTTACACTAATTCTCTGCTCTTAAAATGTGACAAGTTCACAATTTCAAAGAAAACGGATTGTTTTAGGATAAAACCGAGAAACTATCCGATGAAGTTGTAAATACAGTTGCTATCATCGTCCTGCAGTCCCCTATTTAATAAAAATGTATTAAATTAGAGTTAGATTTCAAAAAAACCTATGAGATGATATTAGTTACCTAATAATGAAGGTTTATTTCATTTTAACGAAGATGAACAGGATGTCTGGTGTTTGGTGGTGTTTTCTCCTGCACAGGCTTCCCAAGGCTTAGAGAGGAGAACGGACTTTAACAGCGGGGTGCTGGAAACGAGTGAGAAGCGCGAGTGTGTGTGTGTGGGGAGGGGGAGGGGGGTGGAGGGGCGGGTGATAGGAAAGAGTGTATCACTCCCTTCGTCCCCGCTTTCCTTAATGATTAACTCAAATATCTTTTAAAAAGGGGTGCGAGCGACTGGGGACGGGGAAGAAAGGCCTGATAATGATAATGATGACGATGATAATAGATATGGCCATAATGACCATGATGACGATTATAATTACGATTGTCTTTGTAATGAAGACGACGATGAAGATGATAACGATGATAATGATAATGTGAGGATGATGACGACGACGATAATGATCATGAAAGTGATGTTAATAAATATGGTAGAGGGAGCGAAGAGGATATGTTTCTGTCGATCTACTGACAAATTCTTAAAAATTTACAGGAACATTGAGGCACTGTTCATTGTTAAATTTACCATTTTAGTTACTAATCGGGAAGTAGACCCTTAGTTTCCATAAGTTGTGAAAGGTGACATAAGTGTTATGGTACACTTGTTAACATTAAACCAAATTAACGTTTTCCTGTTGTTGAACATCGAAGCACTGTTCATTGTTAAATTTACCATTTTAGCTACTAATCGGGAAGTAGACCCTTAGTTTTCTTAAGTTGTGAAAGGTGACATAAGCGTTATGATACACTTGTTAACATTAAACCAAATTAACGTTTTCCTGCTGTTGTTGTTGTTGTTGTTGTTATTTGTTATTCACCTTTATGTTCAGTGCTCATCAGTTAACTTGAAGTTTTAAAAAACACTGTTTTAAAATTCCAAGTCGATTGTGACGAGACTTCAGTTGATACCGGAAAAGTTAGGAACATGTTATCCTTATAACGATCGGCATTAAGTGTCCGTCTTAGAGAGATGTCCGTCTTATTGAGAGTCAAATAAAGGGAGTAAAGAAAGGTTGGGACCAACTCAAGGTGTCCGTTTTGCAGAGGTGTCCCTCTTATAGAGAGTCAAATAAAGGGAGTAAAGAAAGGCAGCGACCAACTCTAGGTGTCCGTTCTACAGACGTGTACGTTAAGAGAGAATCGACTGTAGACGGTCCTACCTATCCTCCATGGTCGGCAAACTGTAGACATCAACCGTAAGGTATAATAAAGTTGACGTTCTGTAGTCTCTTTACTAAATGTATTATACAAGGGCAAATCAGGTTAAAGAGACTAATCGACTTCTCTTGCCAGTGTGTTTCTGTGTGTTTTGCTGTACAAATTTAATAAAAGCTAACAAATCACGGCGGGCCAGTCCAATTAAGCCGCAACACGCACTGCACTAAGGTTAAAAGATAGCAAGGACTTTGGAAGTCTAAGAAAGTCATTAAACACGATAGAAAATAAACGAAAATACAGAAATGCTTTCACTACATCTATCTGATTTATATCTCCTCATTTAGAGCTTTTTTTTGACAGCCATCATGAATTGAAGATCTCTTGAACTGGCAAAACCTTAGTCAACACTGCTACTCTAGTATGCGTAATAATTATACAAGCACTTTAGCTCTATAGGAAAGGCTTTTACAGCATATGATAAATGTTATTTTTCCTAAACGTTATTAATCGAAAGTCTGGGAAGTAAATAGTCATAACAAATCTGCAATCTTATGTACACAGTAAAACGAAAGTCTGGAAACAAATTCTCTCAATGAAAGAACTGTATCCAAGGCAACAAGATTTCCTGCCAGACACCCTTCTACAGTATTAACCCTCTAGATAACTTTGAAACTACCTCACTGAATTACGATGAAGAAAGCATCGCTTCTCACAGCAACTCTTATTTTGATGTGTATGACAATAGATCATTCTTCGAGAGAGGTATCAGCCGTCAATGAAGCTACAAAAAATACGTTTAGATGTAAGTTTGCAATGTATATGTTTTTGTATGCTTTTTACAGACATACCAGATTTTACATGTACTTAATGATAACAACAGTTTTGGTGCAAATGTAATCCACATCGAAGGAGTTTCTCGGTGATCTTCCCTTAAGTGATTTAAGTAATTTCCCTGCAAGATATAAGTCTGTTATTATCCGGCAATGCGTGAATCAAATTTGTTGCCCCGCACATCACCCGCAGGTTAAAAGCTTTTAAGCAAATCCGCAGGCTTTAGGTTACGTGGGGATGTTTTTCTTTCTTTATTTTTAGTTGGAAAGGGATCTACTCTAACTTTTATTAAGCACACATGAAAAGATTCCAACTGATATGAGACAGGGCATTTTTAGTAGCTAATTCTGGTGTTTTCGTCATTAAAAATTGTCTCAGTGATTTTACAAATTTATGACGTTCCTGCAAACAGACATGACTGTCCTGCTCGGTTCATATCATTTTTCCCAGAATCCGCTAAAATTAAAACGGATTGAAGCCCTCAAGCTAGCCCGGGTTGTGGCTATGGAAAAAACCAAACCAGTCGGCATCCACTTTCTAACCAGACCACCTTAAAAAGAACAGAAGACGCAGCATCCTAGTTCTTTCAAGAGTTTATCATCCTCGAGATCGTCCTCGTCAATAATATGCAGATCTCCTCTCCGCATTTTCCTTGCATCCCTATTATTTAAGAAAGTGAAGGGGACGGGGCACTTATTCGAGGGAGGGGGGGCGCTTGATGGATATTGTGACCCATGGGATGGGAGTTTATTCGGGGAAGGGCACTTATTCGAGAAAATACGCTACACGTATTTAGCCGCAGCCAAACTGAAATTGTTACCATGAAAACGAAGAAAAAGGTTTGCGTAAAAAGATTGCTTCAGGATTCCATTTTGTTTCAATCGTTTGTAGAGTATCTCAGTTCTTCTTGTAAAAACACGGTCGTAAAAGGGACTATGTGCCCATACGCAGTATTCAGTCACAAAAAGGGCAGCTTCAGACAGATTGCACCATATCGTAGTAAAAACTAGCCTTACTTTTTAGGTCAACCCCTAATCAACACCTGTTATAGTTTGCCTGTTCTTATTACAGAAGCTTTAATTCATGATCTCTCTCTCTCCCTAGCTCTCTCTAGGCATCCAGTGGTAGGGGAATCTCCAGTAGCCTGCATTTCACTAGTTGGGCCGGCACATAATGCTTCTACTACAATCATGGTCAAAAGTCTTGGGATTTTTTTGCATTTCTGGGGCGTTTTCTTACACACACGTGCCCAGCTCCTCCACTCACCCCACAAACAACGTTGGACGCGTGTATCTAGAATTTTTTTCCGAGTTTCAACTTAGTAGAGGGTGGGGGGAGGGAGAACTGCAAGAACATTTCGAAATTAGAGGGAAGCACTGTTTTATGAGACAAACCAGAAATTATAGAAAACTATTGAATACTGCATTACTGTCACAAGGACTTTTGTGCAGGATTGAAGGTATTTCGTGCTAAATAAGCCTGCCCGTCTGACTCCAAACCATGTGGTAACATCTTTGGCTCATCTGCACCTGACTCTTATGATTAATCTTTCTCTTCTTTCTCTAGTTTTGTTCAATTTCTACCAAAAACCAGTGGCCAGTTTGATAAAGAACTCAAGCGCCACTGAGGATCACGAGGAGAAGTCTCCAGAACTCAAAAAAAGGGACAACATTGCCACACCCACTGTTGAACCGACCTTTAAAACCACCACCATCAACTTTCCAGTTAACAGCTACATGGCCAATGTCATGCTACAGCTGTTCGGAAAGGAGGGAATTCTAGAAAAAGGTGGATTTTACAGAACCGGATATATTCATGAAAACGCGACAGCTTCAATCGTGCTGCTTGAAAGTTTCCAGAACAGATCAGTTCTCTTACACGAAATAATGCAAGCTCACGAAGCGCCGATTGGTGCAGGTGCACTTGCGTTAGTCGTACAGTTGTTTTTCACGCCGACAGATTTCCGACGTGTGACCGATTGGCTCCGAGAAGATATACGGTTAGGATATATTAACTATGATGATCCTTGCTCTCCGATTGTGAAAATAAAATTCGTTTGCTGCACCAAGATTGCAAATCCATTTCTCGCACCAAAGTTTGGAACGCTGAGAGTAGATATCGATTAACCATATGGGTTTGTAAATATGTGGTCTAAATTCGGGACGGGATGAATTAACCACAAGACTTAATAAAATGGTACATTTGTCACGAAAATAACTAGTTTATAATAAACCAGAAGTTTTGAGGAGTTTCCGTTAAAACAGTTTCATTTCCAAGCGGATAGTATTTATCAAAGCTTGCGTTTTAGACGTAACGAGGGACTGAAATATTAAAACAGCTGATGTCTTTTCTTAAACTTCACTCTATCCAATACCCCATGGTCAAAGATGTCGATGAAAAAATGCTAAAGTTATGGGGGAGGGAATTTTCGAGCCGTATAATTTTTTTAGGCCAGCGCAAGAATAATTCTAGAGCCCTATTGGAGAGAAATTATTCCATTAATTGTGCGCAGCCGTTAAGAAAACAGTTTTAAAACATAAGTTGTATGTTTTTTGAAGATACCCGACTAAAGTGAACGCGGAAACTTTGGCCACTCAATATTTTAACAAAATATTTCGAGATCTAAGACTTTGATAACATTGAATAACATAACAACTAAAGAGAGCATACGCATTAAACATGGAACAATTAATAGCTTGCATTTCACCAACTTTAGACTAGAAAACCCTGGCATACATACAGTCACCCTCTGTTGCAAAATATCAGAGTGAAAAGAAAAAACACAGGGTGAAAGAGGATTTAAGCGTACCCTTGAGAGGATGTCCTTTACCCTCTCTTGAGGGTACATACTAATCATTGACAATAATCAGAAGAATGACGTTTTCCTTTGACTTGGCAATTATCCTTCTAGTTATTTTGTCAAGCCCCAAACAACCCTTAATCCTATGCATTCGTCTCCGTTGACTTCATTTTGTTTGACTTATGGCGGCGTAGTATTTACATCACAAACCAATTCAGCATAACACTGTTAGCTCATCTTTTGCTCAATTCAGATTCTTGAGTTGTAAATAGTTGGAGGAGAAACTTCTTGTCTCTGGATTCCTTTGGGGAATTTAAAAAAAGACGCGTATTACTTAAATGACAAGCTAGGAAAATTGAAGAGAAACAGTTTAGCTACAGTCTCAAGGTCTATTAGACTCTATAAAACTTCTAAAAATAGTTATTTAAAAAAGGGGTCATCAACGGTCTTTCGTAACTGATACGGGTTTAGATCGCTAGGCATTTTCCGGCCTTGATTTTCATGAACGAGTCCTTTTGCGAGTTTTAAATCTTTATCTACCATAGAAGCTCGTTCTCATCCTGCATGTCGGGCTGCAACCTCGCGATTCAGGCAAAGTCTACGTTTCTCCTCCGCGATCAAAAAGAAGAAAAAAAAAGGCTCTGCTCGCAAAGTGCAGTGAAAGAGTACTCATTGTGAAATCTTTTCCCCTCTATCCACTTAAGATTTTCACCTTTTTGGTAGTTTATTGATCAGTTTTGTGAATTGTGATGTGATTAAATTGTAATGACTGATGCATACCATACTAAGTTCTTCTCTAAGACCAATGATCATTCGACGATAAACCTTCGCAATGGCGTAGAAGAAGTACAATCCAAGACTGAAAAGAGAAACTAATTGGTCACTGAGTTATCTATTTACTATGTGCGAAAAAGGATGGCGATCTGAACTCACTGTTAACCACTTGGCCCCGGTTGATCAATATCCACCGGATAAATCGCTATCCAGCGGATAACTATTATGGAAACCAAATTGCGTCAGTATAATAATAATAATAATAATAATTATTATTATTATTATTATTATTATTATTATTATTATTATTGCTTGATATTGCGCAAATTAGCTAAAAAAGATGATAAAATGCGCATTACAATAATACTGATAATAACAAAGGCTGACTAAAAGTATATATATGTGTACCAACCAACCAGTGGGTAAAAATATCAATTAAAAAAAAATTACATTAAAGAATAATAAATAAGTAAATAAAAACATAACTAGAATAAATTGAAATAGACCACTAGTTGGATTTTACTAAAATACCTTAAGTTATATCAAATAATTACATGAATAATAAATAAATAAATAAAAATAAATAAATAAATAAATGAATATGTTTCACAGAATTAATCCAAAGAGAAAAAAATATGTACGTCTAAATTAGGATTGGTTTGAAACATCAACATAGCCGCCGTTTCATCATTTTGGAAAACCAATATGACCGCTGTGACGTCAAGTGAAAACGTTCTGTTAGTGTACTTGTGTTAGCCAATAAAAGAAGCGCTAGCGTTCTCAAATCAGTCCCGTGGTTCAATTCGACGCAACACTGACCCAGCCTCTTGCGCAAACCCAAAACGAAAATTTTGCTTCAACCGTTTTCTGAGCAGCCACGTGCAAAGCGAAAATGCCCTCCAACATCCATGCTCATTATTTATTGAATTTCCTATAAACTTTTCATATCCTAAAACTGGAAAGAAAGTTTTGAAACATGATTCCTCCTTACCAAATGACTACTCCAAGCACCACGAGAAACACTGGTGAACTAAGAATTCCAAACGTGCTGCGTAGCCCGCCGGGAAGAATTGATACGGTCCATGGAACGATGTCATAAACGTTATTCAATTCTCTGTAAAATGGAACATTGTTTTTGTTGCATTTAGTTACACGTAACAAACTGACTACATTTCAGAAACAAAATTTTACACCGAAAAATAGGTCAAACAGATGAGAATCGATAGAATTATCGTCAACTTTCGTATGCTACTCAACAACCTCGTATATAGCCAGGGTTCTCTCTCTTGCTTCGAGAAAGAACCCTGGTTGCGGCTGGTCACTTGGAAATGTGTGTCAATAAATGGCACAGCTGGGGTAGGTCCTCCACTAAATTTTGTCGACTGGACGATGAAAAACTATTTTGGTTAGGAGAAATTCTTGCTTGAAAATGGCGCTTGAGTTTCTGAGTTGGGTGCAAACTATGCTGCTTTCGGCTAGTTACGATAACATTATTTTGAAGGCAAAACAGGATATTGTTTAGAGAGTTTGTACTTGAAAAAAGATTTGGTCGCCGTCCAGCCAGCAGGATACGGAAAATCTATCTCGATTTGCAAGTGCAAAATCAGCTTTTCCTAAATTTTGCATACTCCACACGTGCAGTTCATGAAAGAGAAAAGATAATGCAAAAGTCAGGTTTACATAATCACCACCCAGACGGCAGTTTAAAGATTGTATGGTATTTTCCGCTTTGGTTAATTTATCGGCTGGTGCACGTAAATAGCCAACCTCGTTCCCAGGGTTTTCTCTCTTGCATTATGAAAATACCCGCGCCATCAGCTGAAAATAAACGAGACGGCAAACTCCTCTCGGGCCCAGACAGAGTAACTTTTTCACAGCGACAATTATTTACTCTTCTTCCCCTCCCTTATTTATGGCTCCCAGATGTTGGGAGTCACGTGACCAGCCGCAACCGTGCCGCAACCAGGGTTCTTTCTCAAAAGCAAGAGAGAGAACCCTGGGAACGAGGTTAGCTACTCAACAGAATGCGTTACTCTGACGTCACTTAAAATTATCGCGTGAATGATACGTTTAAAAAAATTGAAAATCTACTACTTAAATTAATTCCAAATAATGACGCTTTCAAAAGCGGTGGTTATGAACATTACATTCACCTGATAGTCAGCAAATAAAAAAACACCTTAACTTCAACTTTTACTTATTTCTTCATCTTTTCATCAGCTCATTTGTTTTAATTATAAGAGTCGTAAGTGTGTAGGAAAAGACCCCTGTGATATCTTACCTAAAAGGTCCGTACAACTCCGAAGGGCGAATTCTAATAAATAAAAAGAAAACACGTGAAAAGAGAACAACAACAACAAAGATTTTTCTTGTTGTCAGATCAAAATATTATTGATTGGGACTTTCTACAACGTCAACCCAATCACAAATGTCACTAAAATAGAAAAGTGAAAGTTAACTGCGTAGAGATGTCTCTTAGGAAAGAAGTCTGAATGTATGCAGACTATAGCATTGAAAGCGAGGCCGGAACAACGTTTTAGTAATTCCTTTGTTTTAAGAAGCAGTATGTATTAGGCGCAGCATGGTTTATTTGACGTGGCTACGTGCTGTAACATTTCTTGCAACAGTTAATAAACCATATAAAACTTTTTAAAACTTTTTTATTATTGTAGTTCTAAGTCGTAACTAATCTTACACGACCCCACAAGCACATTGTGCTTTACGTTTTATCGTGTTAAAATAAAGGATATGATGATGATGATGATGATGATGATGATGATGATGATGATGATGAGGTGACTGGCTGAGAAAGATTTGAAAATTACTTCATACCATTTTAAGTGATGACACGGGTGGTAGACACGCGATAAAAAATTCAGTTATTGAGCCCGATGTCGCGAAAGAAAAATCACACCGCTACAACACCGCGCGCAACAATGCCCACCTCCTCCCCACCCTTCTCCTCCCCCAAGTTGGCACATTATGCAATTTCATTGGGCTATAATCGTGAAAGTAATGCTTACTGTGTTATCCCATAAGCCACTGCCGCCAGACAAAGGAGGAACGTCCCAAGTAAAAGGATCATAAAGAAGTAGTTTGACCTTCCTGCTCTGTACGCCTTGCCACTTCTACAGTTGTGAAGTACAGTAGCCTGGATAAATACACGATAATGGATTTTCTTTACTTAATTTGTTATTTTCGCGATAAGGGTTTCTTTTGTCCTCTCTTAAAAAGACGAAAACGGGGGGATATTTTATGGCGTGCTTATAGTTTTAACTAGCAATGTTTGAATTATAGTGAAAGGCAGTGAAATGGCAAATGCAGACTATATCCTTGACAGGCCGTACTTTGAAAAAATGGCTCAGGAAAAATACGACTGAAATATCTGGCCTACCTTTTTAGCATAGAAAGTGATTGGCAATTTAATGATCGCCATTAGCGGTAGGAATGGGCTGTACCATGTTCCAATCCTAAAATATTGAAAGGGAAACACATAAAAGCGTGAAATTCCATTGTGAGCGCGGGGTTGAGGGTTCGATTTCCGGGACACGACCAATACTCAGGGTCTTAAAATAACTGAGAAATGAAGGTACTGCCTTTGCCCTGCAAATTGCTCGGATGACCTCGTAAAATAGCGGTCCCGTCTCCAGTAGGAGACGTAAAAAATACTGTCCCCAGTAAGTACTTTCGTGCTAAATACATTGATACTCAAATAAAATGCTTTTTTTAAATCCTCGGTTCAAATTTTTATTTATTTTGCGTTTGACTATCATAGTAACATATGATAATGAGTTGAACTACGAGGAATATACAATAGGCTCCAATAGGCCATTTCCGAGTTGCTCCAAACCTCTGTTTCAAAGCGAGGCTAAGTGCAAAGACATCTATTGACATGAAAATGATTTATAAACATGCAAATGAAATTCATTCTCGCAAGGAAGGTTTCGCAATTAGCCTCCTTAAAGTGAGAGATTTTAGAAGTTGGAAATGGCCTACAAGGATGAAACGGAACTGAACTGAATGTCACGTCTTTTACTTCTGCTCGTGAATTATTTACGATTTGTTAGAATTTAATTCAATAAATGAAACCTTTACCATATCAGCGACTGCCCATAAACAAGCTCAAGTACATTATCTGGAAGAATGAACTCCGGGCGACCAATCTTCTTTCCAGCATCGCATCCTAAATATATATAATCCGCAAAATACCTAATAATGGACAAATAACATAGTAAGTTGAAACACGATCTGCTAATTAAAATCTCTTGAGAAAATTCTTAGCTAAAGCTCTCGAAAATTTTTTGGGTAATCTCAGCATCCCTACGGTCAATTTTTTTTCTTCTCATGAATAATTAATGAGGTTGCGAAATATAGGCTGTGACATCAAACACGAAAATGAGTGTTTTGCCAGGTATTCAAACACTAAGTAGTGGGGTGAAAAATAAGGCGCAGCAGTCTTTTAACCTATTCTTTTTCCGGAATATTTACCGAAGAAACCGGCACCGTTCCGTTCAAAGCACTGTGACTTAAGCCTTTTCTGGACTATCAAAATTAGAAACAATTTTCTCTCAATTCCTGGTGAAGCGTAGCTTCTTTTTCTTCTTCAGAAATGTTTTTCGTTATTGTTATGCTACGCTACACTGATTACAAGAAAAGCGATAATACTACCCTAAGAATTTCTAATACTCGTTTGAACCTTGTTACATTATAATCATAGCACGCACCTTCGAGGCGTTTGAACAGCAATTATAACGAAGAGTGTGACGAAGAAGTCGCTCAATATCAGCTTGTACATTTCTGCAGCAATCACGTTCTCCCAACACTGAGGGAAAAAGAAGAGTTAAAACTTGTGAATCTGTTTGTGGGTGAGTGCAGGTTTTGCCCTTACGCGAGCAAAAAACTGCTTCCAAGAAAAAACGTGTTTACTGGTTCACGTGACCAATCGGCACGAGATCGTATTGATAAGTCTTCTCCATAGTCACCACCTATAGAGGTTGTTCACTTTCATAACTGAGTTAAACAACTGATTTTCACTTACCAACATACAGGTGGTTTTGATCCTGTTGTATAAAGAAATTACAAGTACAGCAACCGAGGCCAATTTCAGCAGCACCGTTCTGAAAATATGTAAGGATAAATGAATTATTAGGAATTAATGATTCTGAAGAACACGACGTCATAATTCCAATTCTTACCGGGCTAAATCAATGTTGACGTGGACCCTTGGATTCCAGTCCTCTAAGCGCGAAAGGATGTAAAATATGTTGGGAACAATGAATCCTAACCCTGAGAGAGTTATAGGGGAGGCGTAACTCTTGAGTAGTTGCATTAAATCTGTTGTTGTTGACGCTTTGCTATCCACATCAACTTGAGATGTCTATCATATAGCCGGAAAAAAACGTAAAACAAATAACGTCAAAATCCAAAATTAAACTGAAGAAAGATTTATTGAATAAATTCAATCATTAAAAGAAACGCCAATCTTGTTTTGTCGCACCCTTCCGATCAATAGAGCGTTTTCACATGACGTCGCTTCCGCCTTAAACGGTGGCCATCTTGCTGTCCCAAACCAATCCTGAGGGAAACTTTTCATCGCTGCAGGCCACATGAGGGAAAACGCATTATTCAAAGAAAGGCTGCACTGGTCCACATTGGGGTGGGGCTAATGTTCTTGAATTTTCTTCCCATAGTTTTCTCAAGCATAATCTGAGAATTTAATTATATGGGGTGTTCTTAGTATGTTCCCAAATCTAAGTCTCAATCTTCTTATCAATCCGAGGAAAACCGAAACCAGTCCTAAAAAACATTCACATTACTGAATCCCGTACAACTTTTGATAGAATTTCTTGTAAATGACGTAGTTATTAAAGCCAAATTTAAGATTTCACACTTTTTGACTTAATATAATGAAACATTGTTTGGCTCGTTTATTATTTGTCTCAAATCTCTGACTCAAAAAAGTCACTTTGTTATTAATCGCGACATTGGTTTTAATCTAGCGATAGTGTCGATATACTGAGCGGGACTGCTAGTAACACTGTGATTCCTTGTGACTGGTGCATTTACCAACCTCACACGTGGTTGGTGTGTTTCGAAATCCCGCAAACAAGAAATACAGATACAATAAAACCCCACGTGAAGAATCCTAAAATTTACGAAACCTGGCAGGCTGAAATTTTCATTTTAAGCACCTTTCACAAAAGAACCATTTCAGGCTGAAATTTCAAAGTAGGTTCTAAATTTCCAAAGTGCAATAGAAAACCATAACATGCGCATAACTTAGCACTATCTTGTATGATGTATGTATGTATACAAACTAGTATGAAAATGTGTGAATAATTTAAAATAAAAGGCCACGCCCACCAATACAAGTACTTTCTTTCTTACCAAAAATTAAGAATCCATTTAAGAACCTAGATAGCTTGATTTCAAGTTAAGCACCATTTATTTAAGAACCTGTTCAGGATGACTTGGAAAAATGTAGGTTCTTATACGTGGGGTTTTACTGTAGCGCCTCTCAGTGAGGCCCTTGGAATATGTATGGAGAAAAGGAGAAAACCATGGGAACTTTCTAGTACCTGAGCCAATTGTTTATTTCTCGTATAAACGGTCCGCCAAGTTTTATAAGGAAATTTATGAAGAGTTGGTTTGCTCAGGGTAGCTCAAGTAGGCGGTTACACTTCTACTCAAGACAAGTTTTCTTCATGTAAATGTGTTCGCCCTAGGCCTACTGAGAGAAAAGCCCTGGGAATGAGGTTGGTAAGCGTGGCCTAACTCCACACCTGATCACTTGACCAGCAGTATACGCAGCGGTCGTCGTAGCGTTGCCATCAATTAAAGTAACTATATCATGAGACACTAACTATAATGATGAACCTATCATGCACGGAATATCACTATTAATAAAATCATTCACTGTAATGACATACCACTGTTTATTACCTGTATCGAAATTTGAGCGGCCATAAAAATCAAGTAGGCAGACAGCGCTGATAGCCCCAGAACAATTAGATTTGCCACAGTTCTTATTGCGTAGATTTGGTACTTTTCCTTCGTTGTTCTCTTGGCTAAATTAGCAAGCCTGAAGTCCTCTGCTAGATCGGCCTGGAAATATGTGATGAAAAATGAGCTATGAACTACAATGCGAGTACAGAAACTTTCCCAACTTTTTCTAAACGCCACAGTTACAAAAGGTCTGAAAGGTGTTCGTTCACGCAGATTGTGAATCGCGGCGGGCGTCAGTCATATACTTAGACAAACTTTTTCTCCCTGTTACCAACTGCTTTAATTTGGATGGTGCATGTTCTGAATTTATGCCCCATAAAAAATGTGAAGTGGGTACAGGATATGCTTTAGATATAACCGTTGGCAATGATGCCAACCTTGTAAGCTGTGCATCTTTTTGTGGCTCAATGTCCTCGTGTGTGCACCGATCATGCCGACTTCTTTGCTTGCAATTACCCCTCTACGCAGTTCACTATATATTTTGTATATGGCCTCTCCCTACAGTCCTGCTATCACTTAATGTATTAATACAAAATGATCGTTCTTGATCGTGCATGGCAGTGTTTTTAAAAAAACACTGTGACTTGTCCAGTGATTATCTTCTTGCCAAGCTCAGAATCAGCTAACCATAGTGAGCAAATTTTTTGCGACCTTTAATCTGTGCTGTCTTCGTATAGGTAATAGCATGATTTGTAGTGATATTTGGCATAAATACCACGAGTGATATTTCAAAATTGTTATACGTAATTTCACGAGGCGTTAGGCGAGTGAAATTTGAGACAATTTTGAAATATCACGAGTGGTATTTATGCCAAATGTCACCTACAAATCATGCTATTAATTGCTTATACTACTACCCGCAAGGTTTGTAATTTTCACATGTAGGTATTTCAAATTAAGCTGAAATACCACTGCTCTAAGCCAATCAAATTGCAGAAATTTCTCATGTAGTAGTATAATCCAAGTAATTCAAACGTACCTCTACTTCTTTAACAAATCTCATAGTCTGCAGTTTTGCCGCAGAATCCTCATCAATGCACATGTCCCAGCCGCCGAACACTTTATTGGAGTACGTATGAAAGTATTTACTACCTTCCTTCACATAGCTCTCTTCAAATATTCTCGAAGCACTGAAAAAGAACACAAACGACTTATAATTATAACAATGCAACAAATACTGATACCAAGGGATATGTCGACAGGAGTACGTTACGGTTTTAAAGACTTCTACGCTATACTGACACTGACGAACATTTAATTACCAGTACTTTTAGACTGCTTAACCGGTCAGGTTTCTCTGTCCAAATAAGGTTACTACTATTCATTAACAATTTCTCTTACCTCCAAAGGATTGAGAGTATGATCACCAAAAAGGAAAAGCAGCCCACCAAAAAATACGCCAGCGGCATGTTATAGTAAGTTCTTTCGTCACCAATCACCAATACCTTTTCAGAGTACTTTCCATAATACATAAGAGTCGTATTGATCCAGCCCTGCGGAATAAAATAAGACTTATTTAATTGTAGCTAGTGACCCCGCGCCATCATACAAAGAGGAGGGCGTTTGTTGTAATCCTTTTTTGCTATGTTAAAATATTTTAACCCGAGGGGTGGGTATTCCCTTAAATACGCCATGTAGGTATGTGCCACCCCAATGGGTAAGGTTTTAGTTCAGTTCGCCTTTTGGGTCTGAAAACGGCCGGGTATAGACTTTGTCCATTTTGGTCTGGAATTGGGTATGGTTTTCGAGGGAACTTCGGGAGTGTAGGAACATACTGTATTTGTCATTTCAATCCTAAAATGAATAAGAAAGAAAGAGTAATATGCGAATTCGAAATCTATTTTAACAAATCTTTCTGTTGTTGTTCTAACCTAAATAACTGATGGCACAATTTCATGGAGGCCAGGTCTGAAAATGGGTGTGGAAAATGATATTTTTTGGTCTGAAATAGGGTCAGGATTTAGAGGACCGGGTGGCACACCCCCGCAAAGAGTTCCCGAGAATAATCCCCCGGGATTTTAACGATTTCTCTATACCAACTATACTTGTAATCCAAAGCGTGTTCAGCAAGACACGGTACCGGTATCCAGTTATAGGTGATGAAGATGATGAAGTGAAAATGTAATAATACTATGAAACAGACGCGGACCTGCCGGGAGACTCCCGGTTTTGACGAAGATTCCTGGTCTCCCGGTGAGTCGCGAGGCTGTCTCCGCAACTGAGTGCAGACGATGTGAAATCAGTGTAGTCGGTTTTCTAAGTGTATCTAAGGTATAAAACACTGTCTGGAGGAAATACAGTAGAGTATATAGAGGTCGCTGGTTGATGCCGCTCCAGCAGCCCTAATAAGGGTGTCTATGGATATAGACACTCATGGGCGACCGCGTCGTAGGTGTCCTTTTGTTGGCCGCCACAGGACAAGCTGGCTCGCTGGCAATTGGCGGTGACGGTAGCAGTGGTCAGAAAGACCAAGCCTTCTTAATCCGATCCTGTCTGACAAAATTGGAAAGTTGTCTTACAGTTCGGCATTGGTTACTTGATCTCGCTAGCCGGTGTTTAGGACACTGCGGAGCATGCGAGTATAAGTTCCACTGAGGGACTTTTCCATAGGGACAGTAAGTGGCCACACCTCGCAGCCATAGAGCAAGACAGACTCTATAGTCACTTGAAAGATCTCTAGAAAGATTGGATCAGTATTTAAACTTTTTTAGTATGTCTACTTACCACGCCAGAAATGAAATCGGAAAGAAGCATTAGGAAAGGTTTGTGTGTATAAAGTGAATAGTTTTCTGGTTTAACCAGATGACATTGTTTATCATTCTCGGTAGAGTTTGGCGACACATCTCTTCTCCTCCGTGAAAAAGAAACAGACAATTCCGCTGGAACGAGAGATGAAGAACTGTTAGGTTTGATAACTGAAACATTTTGGGGGGATTCCAGCGGAAGCTCCTCTCCTGTGCTTATCGCTTGCGGTATGATTACAAAACACAGTGTCAGAATGAAGATATAAATGTTCAGCTGTAAAAGCCACTTGAGGAACGTGAAGTAGGAGAGAACACCATTTCCAAATGAACCTAAAAGGCAAACAAAGTAACCCTTGGTAGGATATAAAGAGATTGTCTTTGGATTATTGAATAGAAAATGTTTTAATGTTTCCCAAGTAATGATAAAATCCTCAAGATCGAGGCTGTCAGCCAGAGGGACAGACAGAGACATGATTACTCCGGATATCACAGAAAACAAATCAAGGGTAACAATAATTATTATAACACTACTTTGAACAAAATAACGACAAACACTATAAATGAGAGCGTTTTTGAGCTGTACCTCAGCAATGGCATCACATATTATAAAAATTTCAAAAAAAGGCCAAATTATGCCAAGCTGAACAAAATAACGACAAACACACCGTCACTCGGCACCCAGTTTGACATTGCTCACTGAAATCGTGCTTTACGCGCGCAACCTATAGATTAGCCTGAGTTAGTTGATCTGTAGGCTGTCAGCAGCAGAAAACTAACTAATCTGTAAGTTGCGCTGTACAAAATAAAACTTTAGGTTCTTAGCCAATGAGAAGCCAGAAATTGGTTACAATGTATAATAAAGAGGGATACTGTGTAAAAAAAAAAATTGCAAGATACGAGGAGCCTGGTCTCGCACTTTTCGGGCGCTTTTCAAAGTTGTTGCCGGCTCGAAGTTTGGATATACAATAGTCTCCATCTGTGACGTCACCGCTCCTAGTAGGTCCAGGTTTAGCCGAGCAGATAATGCCTCAGGAACCTGGATGGCTTCTGCCGAGTTTCATTAAAAGAACAATTTTAGTTTATACCAAGCAAAAACTAATCATACAAATATTTTCATTACCTTCTATCTCTTTAAAATGACCTCTCCATAACTCGTAGGAGTTCAGGAATTCTTTCGTTTCGCTGAACCATTTCTTAAACCACTAAACAAACAGAAACCTCATTTCAGTGACACAGTTAATTTTAGAGCGACTCCACATTCTTCGACGTCTGGCGAGGAAATAAGACAAGTTAAACTAAATCTATAACAGTATAAGGCATTAGTATGGAAGAAGCTGTTTCAAGGCCCTCTGTAACGATATGATGTTTGATGTGTTCTTCATAGTTGACTGGGTCATTTGAAACAAACATCATGCCAGCAGACTGCATAGAGACATAACGAATACGTATATTTATACACATCTAATTCTGTGGGTAAATTTGCAGTGCTGGCCCCAGTTGTTCGAAAGGTGGATAGCGCTATCCACCGGATAAATCGCTGGCCAGTGGATAGAACAATTGGTTTCCGTAATCCTCATCCCCTGGATAGCGATTTATCCGCTGGATAGCGTTAACCAACTTTTTGAACAAGTGGGACCTGGACATCAAATTAATAGCGGCAGGAGCCCATAATAAGACTTCGGCTTACCATGGCGATATGAAGTCTTAAAGCTGTGAATGAAGACAGTCCTCGTGATTCGCTATCTTCTGTAGAACTCCTGTTAAACCAAAAAAAGAAGAAAAAACGTTTTGTTTAGCCATGAAACGGGTTGCAATAGCATTCTTTGAAAATTTTGCCTTTTATTTTCCGAACAAATCTCACCCAATTTAAGCCAAGACTTCATAGTGTGAAAACGTGCTGAAATGTTAAAATAATCTTCAAGCTGTAAACGAGAGCCTTTGTGGGCTGTACCTCAGCACTGGCATCATATATTCTATAATTTTTAAAAAAGGCCAAATTATGCCAAGCTGCCAGACATTCATTAAATTCAATTTTTTTGCTATTAATAGGAACCCCTCTGGAATATACAGTTAACACCTATTAGGTGAAAATTATTAAAGAAATAAAGGCTTTTAACACTAATGCCGCTTTTCTAAATAGTACTTTACACATGATGCTTTGAAACTTTTGGCAACTCAGTAGAGCCTTCTGTTACGTCTTTTACAGATGTTATCGGCAATTAATATTTATGCTAAAATTTCACTCCTTTATCCAGAGTTGACCTGTTATTATTATTGATAGTGTTTCTGTTTTATTTTACAATTCCCTTAGTACCTTCTCTTTCTCACCCGCAGAATTCTTACAGCTAAAGGTTCAGTTTGAACAGATTTTCCCAGTTTTTCTGTGCGTTTGGTACTTTCAAAGTCATGCTCTTCGTCAGAATCTTCGTTATTGATGGCTTCGTAGATTTGACCCCTCGTTCGGTCTCGCTCTTTCATTTTCTTACGCGCTCGATTCTTCCAAAGCGATAATTGTCGACTGGGAAGAGTTTTTAAAACGTTTGCTTTCTTAACTCCATCATTATCGTCATCTGAAATGATAAAATAAACTTGATATTACATATTTCACGCAGTGAGGATCCCCTCAAGTACATATTAAACTCAAATGTCGAACTGAAAAATAATACAAGATAGGTGATTTAATGGACAAATACCGTAGAAGTTGCAAAGATTTCTAAGCAACAAGGGTATTTTACAGAACTTTTTAATAACAAAAACTGAGTTGCTCGCGCTCAAAATTATCTTTTCGATAAGATAACCACAATTTAGAATAGCTTCTTACGAAAGCGGAATTCGCAAACTTTACGGGCTTGGGTCAACGTCTTTATAAGCCAAAGGGAGTGGACTAACCATAACATGGCTAACTAAGTGGCTAGTTCCTAGGCCACTAAAATTACTGCGCGGCTAAAAATTAAACAGTCACTTGGGGTATTAAACAGGCCTTGCGGATAACACCCTCCGGCCTCATAGCCTGCGAAAACATCCGTTTCTCCTCGCTCTTCGCCGTTGAGGACGTTTCGCGGGGAGAAGCGACGTTCCTCCGCGCGAGACGTCCCCAGCGGCGAAGAGCGAGGAGAAATTAACTAAACGGATGTTTTCGCAGGCTACCGGCCTCCTCGATCTGCATAATTCTTCTTTTTCATTAATTGTTTTATTAATTCAGACTGTTAGAGTAAACTGAAACCTGCTTTATTACCTCGATCAACGCATAAGTTCCCGTCATTCATTGGCCTGTTCCTCTAATAAATCACGATATATTAAAGTATGTTTAGTGTAGCAGACATTCTTCAAAAAGCAGTTGTAATTCTTGCTGTTCTTGCTAAGATTTAGGCAACAGTTCGGTTAAATCTTCTCCCCAAATCGTATGGAATTTCCTGCCATTTTCTCTAGCTACTGTAGTTGAGGTGACCCAACCTCGTCCCCACGTTGCCGTGCGTTTTTGCTGTTGTTATCCTGCACCAATGATGTCATTTTATCGGATATCGCAAACGTCTTCCAAAATTAGTCAAGGCTAGATGGTTATGAAGAATTTACCACGGAATTTGAGCCAGTTAGAAGCGGACAAATATTTTGAAAATAACCGTTTCCTTTTACGTGACTATTCAAAACGAAAAAGCAATCAACGACGAATTAAATCTCCTTACTGATGAATTAACGTTCGTAAATTATTCGCATTTATTAATCCTATTTTGAAATAAACTGTATGTATCCCAAGTTAAAACAGCCGTATCAAATAACAAACATCATCAGCGGGTAACCTGTTTTTGCAATCCATTATGGTGTAGTACATTCAGGAGACGAAAAACTACGCAACCGATCCCAGCAGTCGGTAGACAGAAAACTGAATACATGTACGCTTCAGATGTGTTATTCCAAAAGAGATTTTATCGCCATAGCACTGTTTTATTATAAATGTTTTTTTAAATGAAGAGTTTCAAACACGTGCGTCGAAATCCGAAATAGATACATGTTACAACCGTATAAGTCAGATTTTAAAATTTCTTGTCCTACATCCAGTTCAGTAAAACGACATCTTACAACCCAGCTACAAATGCAGAAACTCACGTACCTTCGTTCAACACACTTAGCTGTGAGCCAAGGTTTCTTGTCTCTTGAGGGTCATCCATCTTCCAAGACTGAATTTAACAAATTTGATTTGTTTTATAACTGTTTTATCAGGTAGAAAAACAATTCTACCATATTTGGCCCCGGCCAAAAATTAACATAGTAAAAAATCCTTAATTCTATGCCTTTTTTTTTCGTCACAGTTATCCCACTCAAATATGCAGATACAGCGACACATTGGACAAACAAAACATAGATTTGATACAGCAAGGGTGAAAGCTCTACTTGATTAAATGGAATTTGCATAACATTTTTCCTTTAAAAAGATCAGATTTAAATTAATCCCCTTGGGAGTTCGTTCAAACGTAATTAAACCGCTGATCGATCTCCACCGACCTTAAAGAAATCCAAGAAGTGTCAAACAAGGCAAGATTCTGCCAAATATTAATAATTTGTGGTCATAAAAGTAAGCACCTATATAACCAGAATCAGAATAGACGGCAAGTCATGTCAAGAGCCAACCGCGCTCATAACAAAAATATAGAAGTGACCAATTTTAAAAACACAAACTAGTGAATCACTCAACCTGTTCAAATATTTACCCGTTTGATACATCTTTCAACTGGTAGGTAGTTGATAATTTTTTGGCGTTTTATCAACCCAGTAAAATTCTTCCCTAACCCCAGAAACACCCAGTAAGTTCAGTTAAGCCGTATGGTTTAAAAATAGGGTCTTATTTCATGGTTTTGACCGCAAATTTTCGCAGTGTTAAGCAAGTGTTACTGGGTAAATGCAATTAGGATGTCTTGGAGAGTGATAACTTTTTATAGACAAATGATTTCCAAAACCTGTCTTATTGTTCATGTATAATTTAGAGAGCGAGTCCACCACACTAAAACACAGAATTTTCCTAGCCTGTAGAGAAGATATTTTCCGCCTGCAAAGAGGAGGTACTTGTTCCAGGAGGCGGCCAAGTGACTAATCTACATTGCTGCTAGACTTACCATTAAGTTGCTAAGACGCCTCTTTTGCTTAAAAGAATCTTATAAAAATTATGAATTACTATTTTGGAAAAAAGGTGATTCATTTGAAAGACTGAATAAGGCGGTTTCACACAGCACAGGAATTGGGTTGTTTTGTCTTCCTATCCTTTTAACGTCATTTCTGTCGAACAAAATACACACGTAAATGAATGAGTGAATTGTTGGCTGATCAACCTCGTTGCCTGGGGACGGGAAGATGATTGAGACTGGGAACGAAGTTGAGGATTATTCTCTTGTGTTTCTCTGACGTAACTCTGGGCCCGGTTCCTTGTAATATAGTCAAGATTATGACAACCGGAGTTTGAAATTTCATTTTATTGAACGCTTCTGTCTGACACAGCTAGTTTGAATGCCTTTGTTTAAACTTTTGTAGTACGAATTTGCGGATTCAAAGCCCCGGAAGAAAGAAAAGATCAACTTCCTGTCGCCATTTCGTCCTCCCTATGTTGAGCCTTTATTCCGAGATTCAGTGATGATACTTTGAACTTTAGAAACGAGGAAACTGGAGCCGAAATGAGTTTCGCAATCGTCTCTGGGATTGTTACCGGTCGGCTATCTGCCACATTTTTTCTCGCGGCCTAGACACATTCCCAGAAGTCTTAGCAAAAGTTAACTCGGCCCAGTTCTCTCCTTGTTTCTAAAGAGGTGAATAGGAAGGTAACGGCAATCATGGCTTGAAATTTAAATCGTAGATTAGCGCTTATCGCCCTTTCAGGAACCGGGCCGTTAAGGTAAGACACAAGTTTTATCTCCAGGCTTCGCTCTGTCGGTAAACGCCATAAAAGAAGTGCCAGGGGATTGGTGAGAGGGAACATGAAGCACCGTGAAACGATTTTCGGATGAATTTAGGTTTCTGGGAAACTGCCCACCTACCCCTCCCCTAACCCAACATTTTGCCCCAAGTTAGACGCAAATGTTAACGTTGAGTTAGGGGATGGATAGGTGGGCAGTTTCCCTGAAAACTAAATTGATCCCGATTTGCCTTTAATTAAAAAAAGCCAATGAAGAGATCATATGAAGAGGTTTTTTTTTCTATTAGTGGGATTCAATGAGATACTTGGATAGTACAATCTCCGAACACGGGCAGTATAACCCAAAAGACACTTTTTTAATCAAAAGGAAACCAGAAACAAAAGCCAAATTTTATAAAAATCTCCATTATAGGGAATGCAATGACAAATGCTTTCGTTCATTGCTGGCTATAATTTCTGTAATGGAAGTGGAACCATCTTAGGAAAGTCGCACCACCGTTTAATTTCTTCCGTTGTTTCGTACATGAAACTTATGACTCATAGCATTTTCATACAGTGTAGACCCTAATTCGTGGAGCGCGCGTTTCAAAATAAAAACCTCGGGGGATTGATTGGCCGCTGGCGCAACAGGATGGGGGCGAGGAAAGGAGAAAATGAAAGAAAACGAGAAAATAAATCTTTCCTTTTATCTCCTTACCTTGGGGATCAGTATTGATAAATAATTCTTATAGCGGAGCACCATGGGTAAGAAATTTGGTTATCTATTCATCCAAGAAATTTTGGTAGTGACAAAATCGTCCGTCCGCAATTCAGTTTGCTTTCTGCTTACGGCAGACGATGAATCACTTGAGAAAAGCATTTCTTAAAAGATCCCTTGAGAGCTTCGCTTTTGGCCTTGGCTAAATCTATATATTAGCGTAATGCAACACTGTAATTTACCTGAGAGAGAGATATCAAAACATCTGAGCGGAGAAAGTACTAGTCGTACAAATCAGTAACTTTAATGTTACAGTGTAGTTAACGTTTAAAGGTGGCAATAAATAAACATTCCAAGTTTCTGAACAGCAAGAATAAAACCAAATAAAATATGAAGTATAGAAATAAATAAAGTTACAAAAAGACATACAGAATATGAACCAAATGGTCAGTTTCGAAAACAAGGATACACACATTCAGTCTATGTAAAAAACAATAACTTGTTTTACAGCACAATTAATGTGAAAATGGTTTCATCATTTGTCAAAGAAAATTCAAATTAAATAATACAAAAAATTAAGAAGATCAATAGGTATTGTATTGAACCAGTCCTAATAAAGAACAGTGAATTTTAAAAAGCAATGTGTCTCTGAATAATGTTCATTATACAGTCATGCATAAATGTCTACAAAAATCTTACAGTAAAAACCCGCGAGTAAGAATCTGCATAGATTGGAGGGGGTGTGACGCCCGGTTCTCCAAATCCTGACCCTATTTAAGACCAAAAAATATCATTTTTCACACCTTTTTTCAGACCTGGCATCTTAAATCCACACCCATTTACAGACATGGCCTCTAATTAATTATGTCATCATTACTTAGATTAGAACAGCAACAAAAGAGATTTCTTAAATGCCATTTCGAATTCGCATATCTCTCTTTCTTTCTTACTGATTTGGAATTGAAACGAAAAAACACGTTCATACACTCCCGTACATGTAATTCCCTCGAAAACCATACCCAATTCAAGAGCAAAATGGCCAAAGTCTATACCCATTCTTCAACCAAAAGGGCACAAAAACATCCTTTTTGGGGAGGCACATATCTATGTAATGGCCTATATAAGGGATTACTCTCCCCCCCCCCGGCATTTTCCCAAGTTAACCTAAACAGGTTCTTACATAAATGATAATTAGCACAAATTGAGGCCACTCAGTTTCTTAAATAAGTTCTTATTTTCTATAGAAAAAATCGATTGAAGCTCAGAGTATTTAGTGTTATTCAGCTTATTCCTTTTGTAAAATCTGAATACAATTGCATTGCAGTCGGGGCGTCAAGAGGATCCCGAATGTTGACTTATCTTTAACACTTGCCAAATTACACAAATTTTTTTCCACATTTTAGAAAATAAGAACCTACCTCAAAATTAATGCAAGGCTAAACTAGCCACTAAGCCCGATAGCAAAATCCACCAGCTCCGGGCTATCGGACACTACTTTCTTTGCACCCTGCTAAATGGGTTCTTGTATAGAGGAGCCCCAACTGACAAATTTTAACCTAACAGGATCTTAAAAACCAGGCTCTTACTCCCGGGTTTTTTCTGTATTATTTAAAGAGCTGAATACAGGACTAAGAAACAAGGTAATGTTAATTCTGTAATGTATCAATTTTGCATTAAAAGACAAATTTATGGTGTATATTAAATAATGAATTGTGTCCATGAAATACAAGTTACCAGCATACAGCATGCAAGACATTATTCATTGTTTAGTAAACATGTATTTTTCCATTCATGAGGACAAATTTTCAGGAGCTATATGCCCTGTATCACCCATACATTTTAGGCTCACCCTGCCATTAGGTCGGATTGTTACCCATGTTATACCACAGTGACCAATGGACATGCGCAGCCAGCCTTCTGGTGGAAACTGAAGTACTCTGACAACAGAAATATATGAATAAATAAAAAAATAGCAGAAATAGGCCGCTTTCGAGTGCCAAAAACCCTCACTTTCAAAATGAGGCCAAGTGCTCAACCTTTCTTCTGAAAATGAGTTTTCTTAGCATGAGAATGAAAAATAATTTCTATACCAAAGGCTGAGCACTTAACCTCGTTTTGCTACAGAGGCCCCAGAGCACTTGGAAATGGCCTATTGAATGTCTTAACAACTGAAGATTTGACTTGCCATTTTATTACTTTAAAATTATGACTTTGTACTACACAACTGGTGCAGCACTGTTCAGACAAAATCTTCTGTTGATAAGACATTGTACTTCTGGTATTTTCCCTATAGACCTTCAATCAAGCAGCAGCAGCAGTCATGCAAATCTAATGAAACCAAGTAAGTGAATAAATAATACATAAGTTACAGTGAGACTACTATAACCTGGGCTACCTAGACAAAGTTGACCAATCAGATTACAAGGAAATAACAATACAGTCCGAGAAAGTTAAGTTGTCAATCATAATTACCATGGAATGAAACCAACAACATGGATGGAAACCAGCCAATTACAACCTACAGACATCACCTTTTGAACCCGCTGAAGAAAGCCTGTGTTTTTTGAGAGGTCCGTTAGAGTGAATGATGGAGCCAACAAATGTAAATGTTAGTTGTATTTTTGTCTTGAGGTCACATGCTATAAGTATTGCAAAGCATGGAAATGGTAGTTAAGAAACTGCTGGTAGACGACAAATACGAGCTCAAGCAAATATGTCTCCTAGGTGTTCCTATGTAATGTTTCCAATAGAAAAACAGTCTGGTAAAACACTTTATTTTCTTGAAAAAAGTGTTCTATTGATATTTAAATTTTGTCCTTTGACTAAGTTAATGTTTTGTTTTTTTTTTATGAGCTGCTGATTAGTACTCAACCAACTTTCTCAGAATGTATTGTTATTTTAATGCAATACACTGGTCAACTTTGTTTAAGTGGCCCTGGTTACAGTTGTCGCACTGTAAATGGTGTTCTTGAATCACAATCTGTTGTTCAGATAAAGTGCTAACTCTGCTGTGTGATTATTGTCACAGCCGTCCTGAATTACATATACCATTGTAGGGTATAAGGGCTGGTTTTCCCTTACAAGACTCAAAAGCCTGTGTCACAATCACAATCAGAGTTGTAAGAGTGCTTACGACCTAGTGTAAGTTGAGTAATAAGCTCAGTGGAATAGAAGCTACCAGAATCAGTAAATTTCCATTTTCCTCTGACTCTGCCATAAATTTGTAAAACTCTGTTGTTTACGGTCTAATCCAAACTAAATTATCAGATTTTGAAACAGACGCTGACAAATAAACCAATCACAAGGCTAGCAGTTTCCATGCATAGTGACTGGTTTGGTTCTCCTATTGCTGCTTGAGTTGCATGCAGAAATATGCTCACAACAGTGTTAAGTTTGATTTTTTCAGAGGACAGGCTCTTTTTCTTTACTTGTTGGTATGGTAATAAGCGAAATCAAGTTTCAAACAACATGCAAAGAAAAGCAAAAAAAATGCATCAATGAAAAAAAAACTGAACCACAGCAAACAGTATATTTTATCCCTATAGTATTTCTATTATTATAAATCATAAGTATCTCACCTGCATACAAAATATCTAATGACATTAGCATGACACACATAGATTTCAACACTATCACCAACTTGGTCTGGATCTGCTCTGTGAAGATGTCTCCTAAATGCTGCTTCGATACGCGGGCCATCTTGAAAAAACTCCTCAAAAATTAAAAAAATAAGTTACACAAGACAGTCAGTAAAAAAGAAGAGAAGTAATGGTTTATGTACAAAATAATAATCTATTGACAATGTGCTCTAGGAGTTTTCAAGTCAATGACCCTTTTAGAAATTAATATGAAGGTCATCACACATTACCTAGTGACTAATATAAAAATTATAATAATATTTCCCTTGCTTTCTTTATTTTACCGAAACTGACTCAGCTGTTAATTCAGACCAAGCTGAGAGATCCATTGCTTGAAACCACAATTTGTCCAAGACTAAGTGTTTTGACATAAGAGTAATATTTGTAGAGTTTTTTTTATCAGCAGGGCTGTCATTAAGTTTTGTAGCAGCTGTAGCAAATCAAGATTCACACGTAACATCTCACAAAATTTATAATACCACCTTTTGCTTTCCACTTTGATCACCCATAACATCAAGTGAGCTCAGCCGTAACAGGTGTCACAGGTTATGGCCCTTAATGACAGCTCTGATCACGGAAGGAGATCTGATATTTTTTCAGCTTAACAGGTAAAAGAATGACAATGGATGTGTGTTGTACTTGGTTTACAATTTAAGAAGTGAAAGAACGCTACACACACAATGTAGTTCCTCAGACTCTTTTTCCTCTTAATATTATTGAAATTCCTTCCTTTTTCCGCATAGAAAACAGTGTTCCAAAGTGCAGGCATCTCTGTTTCAGTCATTTCAGCCCCCTCCCTCACCCCTCTCTGCCCCACCCACTATTACCTCAACTTCTGGATCTTCTACTTATTGCTAGTGCCATATACATGTAACTAGGCCTCTAACCCCATTTGCTAAAAGAGTGGATAATGATATCCACTAGACAAATTTCCATCCAGTGAATAACGCGTTGTTACCCGTAATACTTAATCACTGGATTGTGATTTATCCAGTGGCTAGCACTATCCAATGTTTGAACAACCAGGGCCAGGTTTTGAGCTACTCACCCTTTTAGCAGGTCTCCAGTTTGAAGAGGAAGGAGGTTCAGGAATAATAGGTGCTCCTTCCCTTAACAAGTCACATGTCTCCCTGGGCACATTAGGTAAGTGTTGAGCAATGATGTCTGCTGTTTCTATTGCTCTAATTAAGGTGGAGCAAACTAATTTGGTGTACTTGATGTTAAGACTTTGAAGTCTCTGACCAGTTTGATTTGCCTGTATTCTGGAAATAAACAAAACAGAATAATAAAGAGAGAGACAAAGGATCAAATATCCCAAGAAGTTGAAGAGATCCATAATGGGCAATAAGGTATACAAGTATACAAGGGCAGATCCTGGATTTTTTCAGAGAGAGAAGCCAACAATAGACACACAACTTTAATACGATTTAACTCTTTGGGGTTTACAGCGATATAGGCAAGATTGTAGACTATATTATTATAATATGCCCAAAAGACTCAGCTGACATTAGATTCGATGTACTTGGCTGCGATGCATCGTATTTAAGTTGTGCGTCTATTGTTAGTGCTGATCAGAAAAAGAAGTTGCCTCACGGCAGCTATAATGTATGTTCTTCAAGCTGACAACTTAAATACTATCACTTATAAAAAGTTAGCATATGGCTTTTGGAGATAATGGAACTAAAAGATAAGAACTTCTCTGAAGCTTTACCACAAGTGAAACTGGATGCAAATTTTATTCAAATTTGGTCTATTTTAAGGATTCTCTTGTACGGGCATGGTACTGAGAAATATTTCAATGTTGAATTTTTCTCTGCCTAACAACTCTTCACAAGAGTTAAAGCATAAGGTGCTAGGATCCCGTACAGCCACATACATTGTTTTATTATGCATACATGTTTCGACTCTACATAGTCACTGAATTAGTACGAGGCTGCCGTATGGGGTTGTGCAGAAATCTTACTCATATGGCTTTTACTGTTGTTTTTTTTTAAATAGTTTTGTGTCAAGTTACAGGCGAAAATATTGGTAAAAAAGGTCACAAAATCAAGCTTTCAATAAAAAAAATAACTTGACATTCACCTACCATTCTCACAAACCTTCGACTCAGAAACTTGAATGACAACGGAGAACTTACTTGTACTTTAAATTTCCCATGGGAAATAACAAACCGGTCTAAATTTGAATAATCACTTCCGTGATTAGACCTTGTCACGGTTTTCGACGCCATATTGACGAGTAGGCAAACGTATGAGAAATTACAGTGTTTGTATGAGAATCTGATGTCGAATAATTTCCGTAGAATGCCTGTTCTGAACAAAAATTAATATCAATTGTAAACTAAAGCTACAAAGCAAAGGATTGCCCTAAAAAAATTGGGGGGCATACCTGTGCTTAAATTTCTCGAGAGGCTTGCTTTAGATTTTCCATATATTTGTCTCCAATTTTCCCGGGACTTTCTTACAGACAAATGCAAGGAAAATTTAAAAAGTGTTTCTAGGTCTTCTAGTGCATGTAACGCCCTCAAACTTTTTCAGGAGAATCCTTAGGAGTGAAGCTTTAGTTAACAAATCATATTTTTTTCAGAACAGCCGTTCTATGGAAATTATTCGACATTAGATTCTCATACAATCACTGTAATTTCTCATGCGTTTGCCTACTCGTCAAGATGGCGTCGAAAAGCAAAACCGTGACAAGATCTATAGACTTCTCCTTCGCGCCGTTCGCCGCAAATTTACCAGCTGAAACTGTAGAACCTGTACATGTCGTCAAAAACAATGGCATTCTGGGCGATCAGGGATTGATATTGATATTGTCCTTTCCGCATAGCCTTCCCAAGAAGGCTAACTAGTTCAACATATTTGAATGAAGTGTCGCGTCTTTTGAGATGATTGCGTTACGCAATACCTGATCTGGGGTGAGCAGTTGTGACTCATCTTCAAAGCGTCGATGGTTGTGATCTGATAAAAGGGGTGTGAAGAGACCTTATGAAGTCAAAAATTAACATGAAGTCATATTTATAATGTATTACAAATAAAACGTTCTTTCTATACCTTCCCAGCTCTGTCAGTCGCTTGTCTTCATCCTTTTTGGCGCTGTCGTAGTACTGGCCGTGCCTAATGAACACCAGATGCCTTATACCTGTCGGTTTTATCTCCTTCGATACTTCGACGTCATTTTCAACTATTCCACTATCCTTTTTTCTAGGTTTCTTGGTGCCTGTCTCGCGCAAATCCCAGTTCGAATCCCACTGCACAGAGGATGGTTCGAAAAGAAGCCGGTCGAGTTCCTCTAGAACGCCGGCGCGTTGGCCGCTGGCATGTGCGGGCAATCTTCGACTGTTGTAGACTATATACGCTCCTGAAAAAGTCACCGCTGCAGAAGCCACTACTGCGAGATTTGAAAGTTTGCGTATAAATGCCATTTTGCCCGAAAAGCCTTTGAAAAACAATGTGTAGACAGTCAGATTTAGCGATATTGATCCGTAGTAAAAAGTATTTTGCTAACGGCAACAGGGCACTAGTGTCCAGTTTCCAAACAACTTGTGACGCGTCGTGTGCCTGACTGTTTTTTGATGTCTCGAGATGCAATGGCGGACACGCCATCAGGTGGTCCCATCACTAACACGAATTTAAGTCTACCAGTTGAAAGCAAGGAACTTCTAAATCCCCCACTAGAAGAGTTGCGTCAAGGTATGTTATCTTTTTCCATAATCGAATAACATCCAATTCAGTATTGAGTCTCCAGAGTACCTACAACCTCTTGTTGTGGCATGTATAGCGAGCGAAGTGGACATGTGAACCTTTATCCGCCCTGGTGATCATGATGTGGTTCGCCCGTTTGTTATTCGCCGAAGGCGATCAAATTATTATTGTTTCAATATGGTAACGTTTCTTATCCTAGCACAAAAAAAGGATGTGGATACCATTTATTCAACTGATTTTTTTTTTTCAGCCATTCATTTATATTTCATACAGAGAACGTAATGCAGGGAGGGGAGGATACGGGCACATTAAGTCATTTGAACACTTCCTTTGTCCCCTCTCTGAGGGATTTTGACCTCTCATTTTGTCCCAAACGGCGGTTTTGCTATCCCCAGAAAGAAATATTATATGGACTATTTTCCTGTGTGTCCCAAGGGTCAGGGATTTGACCCAAAAATTGCCAAAAAAATTGAATGTGGCAGTTAAGCACATACCTCCCCCCTCACACCAAACATTGGTACCTGCATAGCATTAAACCTTCTATAATTGATATTTAGGCTTACTTTGCTTATTTCTGTTTTTGTAGTTCTTAAGGATGGTTTATCTAACAATTTTGCAAGGGTGGAAGTCAGTGTGGAAGATTGCCCTGATTTAAGAGAGAAACCCTTTTCACTTGCTGCTCAAGGTAGGATCTCTTTTGTTACCACATAGCTTTTGTTGTCTACTCTGTAGGGAAAAAATCGCATTGAGCTTTATTTATAGTGTCAATTGATCAAGGCAAGAAAGCAGAATTAAAGCATAGATCCCAAATTTTCAGTTTTTTTCTGTACACTTACCAGTAGGCTAAAGTAGGCAAACAATCCTGAGGGAGACAGTTAAGTTTGTTTTCCTGAGAATCCCAATGTTAATTAAAACTTGAAGGAAAACAAAACTGGGTGGTCATTTTCTAAAACCTTGATTGGTCTTGGAGGGTCATTTTTAGATAAGGGAGCATTACCTGGGAGTCATTTTAATAAATTTCATGAAAGTAGAATAATACAGTAAAGAGCATGAATAATTGAAATTGAATGTAAGAGCTGTAAATAGTAAATCTTACAAACACAACTGTATTTGATTTGGGGGGTCGGTTTTAATATCTTCTAAGCTTTTTCAGAATGGCTGCCTGACCCCCTCACGGGTAATAAACAACTAGCCCCCAAAATTAAGTTCTGTAAGGAGAATTGATGGAAGGTTCCTTATAACTTCAAGAATTTAAGTTGCAGCAACCCTGTTCAACTGTAATGCTATGAATATTATTTGATTTCATAAATGAAATTCTTCCATGTTTGATTATGAATTTTTAATCCCTTATTAAAAGGTATCTGTGGAAGAACAAGAATTGCTGATGTTGGTGGTGTACCTTATCTCATCCCATTACCAGACCTATCCAAGGTAAACAGCAACAAGCTACATGACTTAATGGGCCTATTATGCCCAATAAAATTATGATGCCAGGCTGTCTCACCTGATTAGGGTTTCCTGCTTTGTTCTGCATTAACAGATTTTATTTGGGCCATATGATAAATCCTTGACCAAGCTTGCTCATTCAAAATGAAATTTTCTGCTGATGTTACTAACATTAGAAAAACACCATAGATCTACAGTTTCAATGATGTGGCAAACTCTGTAGAACTTCCTGAAGGATTTATCATTGGAGCAGGAGCTGGGAGCAGTAAATTTGTTGGAGTCAATTGTGAGGTATGAATCTTATTAACATTAAACATTAAACAGTATTTAGGTCTATGTAGCAGAAATGCCATGAACACTTTTAACAAGAATCACAGAAAGCTGTAAGAGTAGAATGAGAAACCCAAACATTGTGCATTTATGAAAAAAAAAATTTTATGAATAAAATTTTACATGTACTGTACATGTACTTTATGTTGTGTCAATGTTTTGTTTTGCACAGTGAGTGAATGACTGATTAGAAATTGATAATGCAATAACCTAGGACAGTAACCCTGATGGGATTACACTTTCTAGCTGAAAATCTCTGGATCTTAATAAGCATGCATTTAAATGAATTTTTTAACTTTAATATGACTTTTGTATTTCAGATGATGGCAAATTTGGTTACTAGCTCAGAGAATAAGGGAGTGATTGCAACCAAGATTGCAAAAGTTAATGGAGAGGTATCAAAGAAAGAAGTCAGTTACTTTATTATGGGAACTCCCATCCATACATACACACCATATTATAATATTATCTCATTCATAAATATAACCTGAGAAAATAGCCAACATTTGGCAACGCTACCACTGGTTTCCCCACCAAATGACATCTGAGAAAGAAGCACAGAAATTCCATACCGATGATGCACACTACCCAGATCTGGGTAGTGCTTCTGATTGGTTGAATCAAATTTCCCACATGGCACGACCAATCAGAAGCACTACCCAGAACAGGGTAGTCTTGCATCATCGGTATGGAATTTCTGCGCTCATTTCTCAGACGTCATTTGGCGTTAGAAACCAGTGGTAGCATCGCCAAATGTCGGCTGCCCTAGGCTGTCATAAATACTTAAAAATCAAAAGTTAAGTAAATATTTGAATTTCATGATGCAAATTTCCTTTAAAATGAAAGCCATAAGGCAAAGTCATGAAACTATTCATCATTTTTAGGCAACAATATTATTATTTTATCAAACTGAATTCATTACATCTCTGCAGTGAGTACATGTGCTTTTTTTATATATTGTTTTGTTACTTTATGCTATAAGTTCTTCACCTTGTGAGCCTTGAGCAATGTCTTAAGTTCTGATCCCCATTTTTTGCATGTTACAGAATGGATCCTGTGTCCTGCAAAGTTATAACTGTGGGGACTTTAACTTGTTGGGGAATTTTCTTGTCAGTGATGGAAATTCAGGAAAGGTAAAAAGAAACAGCTGAGAAATTCAAAGCCTTAACATAAAATTTGACTACAGATTGTAAATGTCATGTATTTTACACAAAATCCTTGTTGGAGAAAGTGTTTTACATCCCAGGACAGCCATCTGGGCCTAGTCCTTTGTTGCAGTTTTAGTCTTGTCATACATAACTTCGCCCCAACAGGAAGAGGAGCATTCCTTTATGAGACAAAAACGGCTGCGAGGGAGACTAACTTGGGTCATGCACAGGTCTAGCCCTCTCCTGAGCAAAGCAGATCCTTCTTCCTCAAACTGCTATAAGATACTGATTATTGGTCCCAAGGCCTTCCGTAACAAGCACTTCACAGACTAAGCTAACCAGGCCGCAGTGAACATAGCCTGAGACCAAGCTCTCCATTTCAAGTGGCAAGCGAAACGAGAGCTGCAAAAGAACACATCAACAAGAGGGGCTTTTACCACCCAATCTCACTCTTATGACTCCCCCAAATTGATTGCTTATTCACAGGCTACAGTGAACAAAGTTGAAAGATCATTACTAGTCAAAGAAGTTAGAAAAACAAAGACGTGACTTAAGATTCAACTCGAAAAGAAAACTTGTGACAGACTGTAATCCATCTCCATGTTTTTTTGAACGTGTTTCATCAGGTCTTGAAGGTTACTGCCAGCAAGAGGACTGGTGATGAGAATTTTGTCACATGCATGCGGCACACCCTTGCTCGTCACTATGGAGATGAGCCGGTTGGATTGGGGGGTGTGTTCGTGATAGAGAAAGGCAAGGCTAAGATTCACGTGATGGTAAGTCATTATAGTACGAAGCTATATGAGGCTTACGCTCACTTGTGCGAATTCGGGGAAAATTCGCACTAGTGAGTCTGCTCGCAGGCTATTGATGTTTATTCTGATTAAGCTCTTTCTTCTTTTCAGATCTATTATAAATGTTGTTATTTGTGGTTTTCATTTCATCGCACTAATGAACTTAACTTACTTACAAAGAGAGATTGAACGAGTATGTTCTTTTGTCACATTAACAGCCAAGATTTTCCGAAACTCCACTCAAGACAGACGCTGATGTCAACAACTGGTTAAAGTTCTACGAAATGAGTGCTCCACTTGTGTGCGTTGGAGTCTTTGAAAGTCACGACCCGGTAAGTTTATTGACAGTGTTGTTAGTTACCTCGGAGATCGTATAAATGCATTTAAAATTCAGTTTAAAGGAGTCACGTGGTCAGATGTTGGTGTGTGAGCGCATGCTCAGTAGTTCGCTAGATCGTTCTTGATTTGAATACCATTGCCTCTTCTAAAGAGTAGTATAGGAGCTGCTTGGAAGGTCTCTCCGAATTGGTCGCAGGAAACAATGACATGTCATTCTTCCAACTGTTGTTTGGGGTGAGGGAGACGCAGCCCTCCTAATAGTCTAGTCATTCTAAAGTTAGACCTTGAACTAATTGCAACAGAAAGTCCGTTTGCGCCAAACAACTATTTAAGTGACCCTAACCAACATATTAAAAGTCTACCAAAATCTACCCGGCGGAAAATCGTTAATTTACCGGAACATTTTCAACTAATTTGC